ACTACCGGCCTATCGCCATCACCTCCTTGTCCTCCAAAACAATGGAGTCTATTGTTAACTGCCAGCTCATGAGGTACCTTGAGGATTACCAGCTGATAAGTGATCGCCAATACGGTTTTCGCCGCGGTCGGTCATCTGGTGATCTTCTGGTCTACGTAACTCACAGATAGGCGGAGGCAGTAGAGTCCAAGGGCAGGCATTGGCTGTTAGTTTGGACATTGCGAAGGCCTTCGATCGGGTTTGGCACAAAGAGCTTCTTTCGAAGCTCCCTTCCTATGGGCTTCCCGAGAAATTGTGCGATTGGATCACCAGCTTTCTTGCAGATCTGAGCATCAAGGTCGTTGTAGACGATGCAAGCTCCATTTACAAGCCTATTAATGCTGGTGTTCCACAAGGCTGCGTGCTATCGCCAACGCTGTTTCTTCTGCATATCAATGATATGTTGCAAACCCGTAACATTCATTGCTATGCAGATGACAGCACTGGCCGTGCCAATATTTCTCGGGAAAACGTCTCCGAGTACCGGAACAAACTTGTGTCTGAAGTCGAGTCTTTGCTGAACAGAGTCTCGGATTGGGGGCGACTAAATCTAGTCCAGTTTAACCCCCAGAAGACACAAGTTTGCGCGTTAACCGCTAAAAAGAAACCCTTTGTCGTATCTCTTCAGTTTTTGAAGGCCAAATTGGCCTCTAAAAACCTGGGCGTGCTCAGTAGATCGGGCCAGTATTTCATGCCGGCACACCGCCTGCAACTTTACAAGGCGCAGGTTCGGCCGCACACGGAATACTGTTCCCATCTCTGGGCTAGGGCTCCCCAGTACCAGCTCCTTCCACTTGACCGCATCCAGCGCAGAGCGGCTCGAATCGTCGACAACCGAGTGCTTTTTGATCGGCTCGATTCACTGGCGCTGCGAAGACATGTTGCATCTCTTTGCATTTTCTTTCGCATATACCATGGGGAGTGCTCTGAGGAATTGTTCGGATTAATCCCAGCCGCCAAATTTTGTGAACGCACTACGCGGCAAATGTCCCGATTCCATCCACACCATCTGTATGCTTGGCGGTCCACCACTGTACGTTTCAAAAGGAGTTTTCCTCTGCATACAACCTCTCTGTATGCGGAAGAAAACTCCTTTTGAAACGAGTTTTCTTCCGCATACAGAGAGTATGGAATGGAATAGTTTACCACCGGCGATTTTTCTGGACCGAAACAACCTGGGGACCTTCAAGAAAAGAGCTTACTCCTTTCTAAAGGGTCGGCAATGCACCTGCAATTCCCCTGGTGTTGCGGTTGATTACGGGCGGCAGTAGTCACTTAACATCAGCTCTTTTATAAAAAAAAACTCTGGGGAAAACGTTTTAATTATTTATAAAGGCCTCTAATCATTTCTGTGAGGGTTTTAGGGCAAGGAAATATCCACCACGCAGTCCCATTGCATGTCTACACATAGCTTCAATTAAATTTTTTTTATCCCTCAGACATTCCAGTTTCCTCACATTAGTTTCCTTCACTGCAGAGTGCAATTAATTTCATTGGCGCTTGCAAGGATTGAATATAGTTTCCTCCAGTAATGTGAAATTTACAGAAAACACTGATCTCCCCGCTACCACAGCTTATCTAACTATGCACATATACATTACCATTGTCATATATACCTAACTAGTCCGAATCAGAGATAATGTCTTCTATATCACCTATAAAATGAGATAGGATGAAAGGTAATCTTAGGCTGGTATCACTGTAGTATTTTTTGAGCCATTTGAATTTTGAATGGCACGTAAAAGTAATTTTAAAAGGAGTAAGCTATTGCCAAATAACTCAAAAAATTACACCTTCTTAACCATAATTCTCAATTTCTGAATTTTAATTAAGTTAATTCAAGTGCATAGACATTTATTTGATTGTTTTTAGTTAATTTTTATAATACGGAAGTTGGTTATGTACTTACCTATGACTTCTTTAATCATTACAAGAAAAATACATTATTATAAAATAAATTAATATTATAATTTATCACTTATCTGGATAAAAGTAAAAATCATACTTAAGTTTTCAGTTTTCGGTCGAATAGTACCTACATATTCAATATACAACTGAATAGGATAAAAATAGCCAAATAGGCCATATACCAAACAATAGCTGAAAATTTGTTGTAAATCTAGTCTCTCACATGCAAACAAAAGAGCACTGAGAAGATCTAATTTCTCCAATAGTTTTGCCATTGTATAGTTTGACTTTAAACTCAAGATTGTTTCTGAATAGCAACTCCAGTGCTGTCTTTGTATATACAGGATATCCATTATATTATGGATATTTGAAAATATTAACTATTTATCTAAATCTGTAAATTAATAAAACCTGTATATTTAGTGAGAAATAAATTCTTAAAGCGTAATTATATATACTTTTGGTATTTTTTCCTTTTTTTATAGAATAAAAGTGACAAATGAGCACACAGTCCACCTGATGGTAAATGGATGCTGTGGCCCATAGATATCTACATTTATGCTCAATTAAGAATCAAAATGTAAATGCATTGCCACTCCTGAGGACTAAGATGGAATGCCTCATTTCCAGTAATAAAGGTACTGGTTCTCTACACTCACCATACGAAACACAGCAGCACTGAGCTGCTATTTTACACTAGTATTCTGTGAGAGCGAGGTCCTACCCTGATCAAGCCCACCTATTAGTGTTACAACCATAATATAGCTGCAGCACTGCTCCACCTCATAAAATTTTAAAACTAATTCTCATTTGCTTCTTAATGCGAGTACTGTCTAATCCTGTACCCCCTGTAATCTGACATGGTCTATTATTTATTATTGAATATTTTTTCTTTCTTTTTTCTTTAATCTTTGCTAATGCATGATTGAAGAAGTTATAATAACTTGTATGCCCCATCACTATTGTACTCCACGCACAGGGTATAGTTTCGATTCTGATTGAAAAATTTGGTTCTGAAAATTTTTGAAAGATCATAATTTTGCACAAAAAGCGTTATTGCTTCTTGATAACGCTCATCAATTGATGTTTCTTAAATTGATTAATTCATAATTTTTGATTATTTTAGTATGTATTATTTCCTAATGTAAAGTTACTGCATATTTTTTCTAAGCTTTAATGATGTTAATTTTATAGGCACACTTTTGTAAAAAGTCTGGACTATAGGGGGCAGTATTCTATAATCCGACACATTTGATAGTCCAACACTGCCCTGCAAAATTTTGTGACATGTTTAACTGCAAGTGACACTTAACACAAAAAAGTAAAAAATAAGCATGCTATAACTTCCTAAGACTGACCTTGGTTTATACATGAGATAAGGCTCAAATCCACATTGCCAAAACTGTAGAATATGCAATTTACTATTTAGTGTACTGTAAAACAATTAAAGAGTTTCTCAGGTAAATACAGTATAAAATACAATTCGAGTGTAGATAAACAATAAAATATTTTTTTGACTTTGACAATAAAAGCTGGTAGAGCCATGCTGCAGTTATATTAGTAGTATAGTTGTAGCACGAATGGGTCGGCTCGACTGGGGAAGGACCACGCTCTCACAGAATACTAGCGTGAAATAGTAGCTTAATGCTGCTGTATTTCATATGGTGAGTGTAGAGAACCGGAGACCCTTTTTACGAAACGAGGCATTCCATCTCAGTCCTCACAGGTGACAACGCATCTGCATTTTGATTTATAATGGAGGATAGATGTAATGTCTATGGGCCGCAGCAACCACTTACCATCAGGTGAATTGTGTGCTCGTTTGTCACCCTATTCTATAAAAAAACGCCTAGTTGCAGTTTTGCAAATATTTTTTTTAATTTAGGTAAGTATGTTTAAAGACTTGTTTTTTTAACTTATGAAAATATTATGGACAAAAAATGTTTAAATTAAACTACAAAGACTAACATGTCAGTATTTAATCAAGTGGGAAAGACAAGGTGAAATGAGATAATAATTATTATGAAGTCATGGCTAGCGTAACGTACAAATAATTTAAATGCAGTCTACACTCTAGTGTGGAAATTTTTAATACAAACTCTTAGAAAACTGTAAAAAAAATCGCAAATAGCACTTTTATCTCGTAAGTACCATTGCTTTAGAATTCATTTAAAATAAAACTTACCTTAGATGTAAATTTTCTATAAATTTGTCCGTAGTCAAATTGTCCAGCAGGACAAAGTCGGACACACCAACTTCTGGCTGAGTCGCCATAGTTTTAGGTCACTTTATTAAGGCACACAACAAACAAGAACAAATGTCCACACAATTTCTTGAATGTGATTACAGAGTTTGTACAATTATTGTCAACAAACCGTTAAAAATATAAAATCGCCGAACACAACCTCCCCCCGCCGACATTTCACGTAAACTGACATATTATTTTTAAAACTATGTCAAACATGTGTCAAATCGAACAAACCAATGTCAAACATGAATCTTTGTTACCAGTTGTTACTTACTAATAAAATCAGAAAAATTTCGTTACATTTTAAAGTTTGCATATTATCCTGTTAATCTCTTGATTTTTAATCGAGTAAAATTTTTTTGCGCTGTCGTCAATATTTTCTATTAATTTTAATATATGATTCATACCTTCCTTTTTCGATGGTTTTTTTATCTGTCTGACGCCATTTTCCTTGTTGTAGGCGCCTCAAATGTCATAATAATTCCAATTTTCCGAAAATTACGTTTTCTTTCCTTTTTTACGTTATTTTTTATATTTTAATGGGTATTGTTGAACATTTTTGTGTGCAATTAATTTTTATTTGCATAAAAAATATTTATTTTGCGCATCTCTCTGGTTCTACTCTCCAAGGTTCTTTGATTGATATTTTACGATGAATAGCAAAGATCTTCATAAAAGGTAGCTAGTAACTTTGACGCCCACGGAAGTGTCATATCAAGGGCTCCAGGAGGTAGTTTTCGGTAATTTCCTTAAAGGAATGTGCACGTGAAGTGAATTTGTGTAAACCTGTATTGTGTATGAGACAATGAGCGAGTCACCAGGCGTGGAGTGGCTGCCGGCCTACAGTCCGGGTCCACCTCGCCACAGCCCTCTTGGTCCAATTCCTCGATTTCTATACGAAGATGTGCAACCTTCTTGTCTTCTTCAGGAAAATAACAACAAGGAGGCGGAGCTTAAAGAAAACTTGAACAAAATCAAACATACAAAACCAGCTTACAGGTAATTGTTTTTTTTTACTCGTATTATTTAGCACCTTCAAATTAATGACTCGTGAAGTCATTAGTAGGTCACCTTAATTAGTATATTAATAAGTTTTTAAGTTTTTATATTAATATAGTACTGTATTAGTTGTTACCAAGTATTTACTGAAAATCTTTAATTCTCGATTTGACTGTTATCTTCCATATTTTATTCTTAATGCAATTCAACATAACTGTTTTTATTATGGTTTCATTAGTACTTAAATCTATTTTTTTATGATAAATACTCATTTTCTTCCATTACATGTTACTTATTTAACACATAATATTATGATAAAAAATGTAACTTAAGTCTGTACACCATGCATGAAGAATTTTGTAAAAACCTTTGTGCCTACTGCCATTGGTCGGAGGAAACATTTTAATATAAAGTAGGTAGTAACAAAGAGAGAAAAGGGAATAAAGGGGTAAGTGGGAATGGGGAATTGTGGGGATGGGAAGAGTTGTAGAGTTACCCCCCCTACTTCCCCCCCCCTGCCGGACATGTTTAGTTTTTTTTATAAATTTTTAAAAATCTCATTTTGAGGTTATGTTTCATAATTTTTTTGACAATTTTAACCTGATTTTTGGGGAGAGAGAGTTGGGGGACAGAAGCCCCACACCTCTCAACATGATGAAGCGTGAGAAACCTGGTCGATGGAGCCCCGATTTGCGGGGTTTGCTTTTTTATAAAAAATAACCAAGAAGGGGATGGCGGGGTCTATTCGCTAGCTTCGCTCCCTCACTCTGCCCCGTCATCCCCTTCTAACCTAACCTGTGAGTCAGGGTGCCCCACATCCCAAGCTCGCTTTGCTTGCTATTGCACTTAATATAACACCGAAATATAAACTTTTATAATTAATTTATAAATATAATTTATAGCTGCCACCTTATAAGAAAGGATCTTTGCAATATTTAGCAGCATTCCGCTGCTGCAAATATTCCACTATGGCATTACCTAAATTCTGAAACTCCAACTAAAGTATGTCTATCACTGTCAACAAAATGGCCAGCCTAGTGATTCATTTTACAAATTTTTAAATTAATTCAAATCGAAAACAGATGAACCGATTCACAAAAAAATCGAAGTCTTATATATATATATCTTTTTTAGATTAGATTGATATCTCAAAAATTTTTCTTTTTTGTTGTGTGCATTAAGAGTTTATTATTTTCAATATCAAAAGATACCACAAAGTACAGATAACAAATGTAACTTATTTTTTTCCTTCTTTATTTTTAATCTATTTACTCTATTATAAAGAGGCAAAAGAAACTGAGCACAATGCAGTTTTGTGAGTTTCTGAAGAGAAAAACTGTCATTCTTTACGAGTTTGGGTACATTCTACTAATTGTAAATAATTTTATAGTTCTTATTAAAACAGAAAAAGATTCAACAACATTTCTCTAGGATGAAATATTGATTCACTGGATCGATTCAGTACTATATATAGATTTAAAAATTGATAATTTTGTTAAATTAATTGATTCCAGCTCGACATGCCTAAATGACATTGACAGGTGCAACATTAAAAATGTGAGAATATATTTATTCAATATTTAAAAAAAAATACTTCGACACTGCTCCGTCAGCAAAAATCGCGTGGGGTGCTTCAGATAACCCCTTTGACCCCCCCACAGTGACAGAATCCTCAAATTCAGGCGACTTAATTTCAAACCCAACCCGAATAAACATTTAAAAATTATTCTTTAGCATAAATTTTATGCTTGTTATTGAGTAATGTCTCTAACCACTTCAGCATCCAAGCCGCGCGATTGATTCTCGCCCCATCTGTCCGCATATTAAATGTCACTTTCTTTATTACGACCGCGCGAGACCCTCAACAAAAACAATTACTTCTGAAAAACTACTGTAGCTACATTGAAATAAAAAATATTCATGAAAAGCTCAAAAAAATCAGAATTTCATTTTTTTATTGTTCAAATTAAAAATAACAGATGGAAATAAAGCTTAATGCTTCCATCTAGCTGTACTCTTTTACATTCCCAGCCATTAGAGGTGGCGCTCTCCCCCGTGCATAAATACGTTCGAGATCGCAGGTGAAGGTTGCTCTACTACATTAAATATATAACTTATTAATTTTTTCCGAAAATATTCATTTTACTTTTGTCTGCCTCTTCATACAAATTTCGCCTATACCTTGTACATTTTGTACTTTACTACTTTTACTACTATTTTTACTGACAAGGATATTCCTTCTTTTTTCTATCCATGGGCTTATACTTTTTTTTTTGGTAAAAAATATATATAAAACTTAAAATATATAAAACATACCAAATATAAAAGTCCAAGTCAATTAATCTAATACTAATATAATCACTAGAAACTAGAACTAATATGACAATTAAATAAAAATAATATATATTTAAGTAGACCAACTTTCACAATATGCTCCGCTCAGTCCATTAGAGCTGCGCGAGGGAAAAGATCAACCGTGCGAGCGAGAGGTATAGTAACATTGAGAAACACTGCACACGTCTGAACACCGAGAAATCCCAGCGGAACTGAGAGAATTTTCAGGCGTTTTTGGTTAATAAGTGGCATATATGTAAAAAGTACGAAAATATATACTTATTTATCTCTAACTCACTTGAAAATAGTTCTATTTTATGTGGTTTTAAGTACGACTTTGCTACATTTATACTTCTAGTAGAAAAAAATAGATACTTGCAGCAAAAAAATCATGAAATTACAACTTTTTAAGCCCTTCAAATAAGAAAATTAAAGCATTTATAAAAAATGTGACCAGACCAGATTATTGTAGACAATATTTAAATAAATGTAATCTGAATACTTTTCTTGATATTGTTATAGTTTTTACATAGCAGAGGCTTTAATAAGACCTTTTACGCATGTAACCTAAACATAGGCATGTTTAACGCCTAATAAAGCTATTAAGTTAAACATCAAAATAAAATTAAAAAACATTTTCGAAAATATCAAATGCTACACTTTAAATAAATATAAAATATGTTTTACTTTTTATTTTTTAAATACTATAAAAAAAAATATTGGTTTTGCTGCAAATTTTGCGAGGACACTAATTTTTACAAGACTGGAGACTTAACGTTGGGAATATCAAAAAAAATAATCGTATTCATTTTTTACTTCGATTTTTACAAGGAAAGTATAATAGTTACTGGAGACAATTATTTTATAATATAATAGTACATGATATACCCCTTAAAATAACGCCAATATCTCAATATTATTTACTTAGTATAGATAAATATACAACATTTACTGAATATAAATGTTCACTTCCCAATGCAATTATTAATTGCATTAGTTGCATTTCAATAATTTCTAGACACATCTCAACATATTTCTTTTATAAATGGCTATTAACGTGTTAAGAGTTAAGCATTCTTTTATATTTAGCATTTATTTAACAAAAATAACCAATTAGAAAACATTTTAAACAACATATAATAAAAAACGATGATTGCGTATAGTTATTAAAATTTCGGGCTAAATTAGGTTAAACTATAGACATCCGGTTCTCGCGTACGGTGGTGGCAGTGGGAGGGGGAGGGTTCAGGGAAAGCCCCTCCTACCCTTCCCCATTTGCAGAAATGTTTAGTTTATGAGTAATTTGTTTCTTTTTTTTTTTGTAAAATCTTAATCTCACTTTTATACACAGGAATATTAACACAAAGTTACTTCTGCAACGGCTTCGGCACTGCCGGAAGTGCATCCCCCTTCGCTCTTGCGTAGCAAATCACATGCACCTTAACTATACCATAAATCTGCTCTGTAAAATAAACATTTCATTAGAATAAACTTCTGCTTCAGTGTCTGAAGTACTGTCAGATGATTATGCTTAATGAATAGATAGTTTTATCCATTTTGTTATCTATATATTTTTGATACTGTATTTAATTTGATACAACTTATAAAATTTTGTGATTTTTTTTCACAAAACAAACAAATTCATCACACGTAAAATGAAAGATGTTTAACCAAGAACTGAGTAAACATGATTGCAATATTTGAAGAAATTGGAAACATAATATATTGTGGTCATATCTGTGAGCACAACGGTGCAAGTATTGACAGGTTATTGTAGGAAATCCTTCATAGTAGGCTATCAGGCTTTAAACCAGTGATTATTAACAAAATCTTATTGTTTCAATTTTTTTCTAGACATACAATTATGTGTATTTTGCAGTTATGCCAGCATGATCAGGCTGGCAATTAGCAGCTCTCCTAATGGAAAGATGACCCTGAATGAAATCTACAACTACATCTGTAATGCTTTCCCATATTACAAAGAAGCTGGCAAAGGTTGGATGGTACGTAGATTATAGAAACATGTATGAATTATTTAAAATTAATATATAGATAGTTTCATCATACTATAAAATATAGTGTGAAACTTAGTGTGAAAAATTATTAAAAAGCAAGGAACCTACTATAGCAATATACCATTATCTAAAAATGGCTCATTTGTCAAAAATGTCAAGAATCATTAAAAATATCATGGTAATAGTCATTTTGTATTTTTGTTTAATAATTGAATTTGAATCACCGACAACTACACTTGATATACATAAACAAATTAATGTTTTTTTGATAAATTATTTACATAGTGTTCTAATACTTATATTTACAGAACTCCATTAGACACAATCTCTCCTTGAATAAGTGCTTCATGAAGGTGCCTCGCAGCAAAGATGACCCAGGCAAAGGTTCTTATTGGGCAATGGACAGCAGCTACAAAATGGCAGAGGTCACGCCGCGGCGTCGACGCAGCCTCAGGGTCAGTTAGGGTTCCATAATACTAATAGTGATAGTGGCATTGTTTTGGTTCATTGAGAATTATAATGACATTTTTTAACTTTGTTAGCAGAAACTAGTCAAATGGATGTTATGTGTCATCAAACATCACATTCATAACTGTTCACATCACATCAAATGTGTAATTAATATGCAGTAATAATTTTTTAAGCAAAAAGCAACTTGAACAATTACTTTCTCAATTCATCAATTCATTACATTCTATCAAAGGTCCACAGCTGAACCTAGGCCTCCTCTTTATATTACCTCATAGGGACGGGGATGATATGCTTATATGTGATTGCAATGCAGATTACCAATCACTAATTATAATTATTTTTTGTTGTTAATAAAAAGAAGCTGCTGCTAATCTGTTTTATTTCCTATGTCACCTATTACAACAACCGCAGGATAATATGGGCTAGTCGGTTCTCTTACGCCGCAACTACACATAGCACTACATTATTCTAATAATACTACATTATACATATATCTCTTGACGTGCTCCTGACAGTAATAGGCTTAATCTCTAGTCTGCAATAGATATAACTGTCTTACGGAAATGCACATTAATAGTTTAAAAATCATTTTCAGATGGCACCGTACAGTCCAGAGTGCAGTTCAAACAGCAGCGGTGAGGCTGGCATTATTCCATCAGTGGTGGATGCAGCACCCACTCCCCCAGCCACACCAACCACTCCCACAACACCCACATCACCCACAGTCACCACAGTCATCAAAGAGGAACCCATTGTTAAAGAAGAAAATGGTAAGTATAACTGTACCTTCCCATAACTTTAATCTAAACATAATTTTACTCTATATTGTAGTTAATAATACTTAATGTTTTTAAATTTATATCATTTTGTACACCAGAAATGGTTAATGTGTTGTACTATATTTTTTCTTTATAACAACTGTAAAACACACACATTATGCAAAATAATCAAATAAATAAATAAATAAGTAATAATGTCCTCCTCGACTAGCCATCTGCGCAGGACAGTATTACTGTGCACATGTTTGTGAAAAAGCATTCTCTACCCTCTTACTCTTATAGTTTAATGGGAAGGCAAGTCGACACAACCAGAGGGAGATGAGGCGCAGGACCAAAGGATTACATGCTTTCTGAGGCAAGAGGGAGGAATATCACCTGACAGAATATGATAGCTATGTAGTTGCTTTCTCCCTATTGAATCTAATGTAAATATATAATCACAAAATGTTTGTTTGGCATGCTATGATATGTAACACAGCTTAAGTGATTTACTTTAATATCTTATTTTTAGATATTATCATGATAGTTTAAGATAGGGCTGCAAGATTACTACGCGCGTGTATTTACTATCTAGTACAGACATATATTGTATGTATATCCTTATTTGCGGCCACTTTAACATAGGCAACCGTATTCCATCATGCTCAGAAAAAAATTAGCTTTAATTTCATATATAAATAATGAATAATATAACTAATAAAGTATTACCAGTTTACACCTGGCTGCGGATAGCTTGCGGCCAAGTGCACTACTGCAACCAAACCTTTCCAAGTTCTTTACATATATTCCTTTGAAGTGATACATAATTTATTTAAAAAACAGGTGAATGAAATGTTTTCGGAAACATCAATTAATATTATTTTAATCAAAAATACTTACGGCCACACTTTGATGGTACATTAGCAAAAATGGATCCCGTACCTACTATGATCAATTTCATATTTTGACAAAAGTTATGTTTGTAGTATCTTCAAAATTATTAATAACAAACTTATTGATAGTACCCGGATGACCGAGCTTTGCTCTGTTTTTTTTTTTTTGGAAATTACATTTAGATACAAGTTACATATTGATGAATAATATTTTTTGATCTTATTGACATAATAGAAATAACTGAACTGGTTATTTGAATAAAAAATCATGAGTGCAATTAGTTTAATTAAAATTTTCGTATTTTTAAAAAATATTAAAAAAAAGGGCTCGAAGTAATAGATTTTCTCACAAAAGAAGAGAACTTGAAAAAAAAGGAAATAAAATCGGATCGAAGACAGGACGCGAACCAAGGTATTACGATTTCGCGACCGCTCGATATCCACTTGAGCTATTACGATCATTAATAAAGTGTCAAAATTTACCTTCTTATATTGTAGCAGTTTTTCACTGCCTGAAAACACGGACAAAAAGACATTTTCTAAAAATAAATCCTAGCTAGATCGATTTATTGCCCCCGGGACACTAAATTTTTTTTTTAGTGTAGTGTAATTTGAAAATCGGTGGAGCAGTTTCCGAGATTCCGATTATATATATATATATATATATATATATTTTATAGAATAATGATCGAAATTTCGAAAGGTCATATAGATATTAGGCGAATTGTGAAAAAAAATGAATAAAATATCTCAAACATGCTATCCTATTTATTTTTGTAATTCAAACCGCGTGGTAATGCATTATTTTAACTCACTGTCATTCATAAATATCTAACGCGTACTATTTTACTACGCGCGCACACATTAATCGGTCGGCATGAATTGCACACAGAGGAGCGCGCGTACGCTTAGTTGTTGCCCGTAAATCACATTCAATTTCGGATAATTTCAAATAAAGATAGAAATCTTATTTATTCGTATTTTCAAAAACTGCAATAACGGTATATCACTATTTGTAAATTTGAACTTCAATATAAAATTTGGCTACTCTGAAAAATAATCCTGTATTTATATCAAAATGTGCGAGTAGAGGAAGGAAATTGGAATTAATTTTTACTGTGAATAACATGAATTTTTTCAGATATAAGTCACACAGATGATGCGCTCTCAGCACTGATGAATGAAGAATTGATGCCTGATGTGGATATAAGTCGAGGTAAATGATCATTTGACAATAAGAAATAAGACACTCCTCAGTTGAACAATGCTCCCCTCATTTACAATTTTCCCTCACTTCCTTAACCTTTTTTACCCTTTCATTGATAAGAGGGATTACTCTGCTTCATTAAGCAGTAGGAGAGAATTCATTAAGCTTCTATTAGTATTAGGCTTACCATTAAGCTTTTAGGAGCAGGAGGAGAGGATATGTGCATTTCAAAATTCTGGAATTTCAAGTTTTACGATGTTTCATTTCTAGAACTGAGAGTAGTTTTATGATTATTGTGATATTCAAAATTTATAATATTTTGATTTTGTTTGAATTTATCTAATCTCATGCTTGAGGTAGTTCCATGTGTGGATTAATATTTATCGGTTCTTTTTTTAAAGTAATAATGAAGTGAGAAACTAAATAGACCAAGTTTGTCTACTTGAGACTATGGCAGATCCCCTGCAGCCAACTTTATACAAAGATCTTCAGATACATTGTCACCCCTAAGGACTACGGTTTAATGCCTCACAGCCTGTAACTGTACTTCAGATTGGCACGCTGCGGGGCAGGCACTGCTACTTGGCGGCAGAGACAGGAGAGCGTGTGGTACGTCCCCAGAATGTTAAGTGGTGTCTTCATCAATTCTGAACCGATTTTAATGATTTTTTTTGAGTGTATGTATTGAGAATGTAACTGTTTGACATATTTCTTAGGGGCTGAAGAATAACTTTTATTAAATAATAAACACCAACTGCAATGATCTAAAAAAAATAATTAAAAAAAATTGCTTCATTTTAGTTTTTGTAGCTAACTTTTTCTTTATATGAAATTTGTGATCTGCGTCGGCTTCGCGCGGGTGATTTCTGGATCTCGACAACAGCGCCATCTACCGGGTACAACTGTGAATGTCAACCATCCAGACTCATTTAAACACACACATTTTTTATTAAAAAATTCCGACCGTTTAAAAGAGTTCAGTGACAAACACACATGTTGTTAGAACAAGGTGGTAGAAGATGTTAATTATTTTACTGATTAAAATGTCCAATTAGTAGGGGTAATTGTGACAACAAGGCATCTCTGTCAGCTTTAAGGGGGGCTATCTGGAACCTATTGACTTGTAGTTGACGCTATTACCACCAGTGTCATATGGTAAATAGAGTGTTGGAGTGACGGTTGCGAAACATTTGCAGAGCGGTGGTGGTGGTGGGGCGCGCGGCGGCACGTGTGCGGCGCGGCGCGGCACAGCTCGCTCACCGACGACTACGGCAACTTCGTGGAGACGCGCGACGACTGCGACTGTCCGGTTGACGACGCGCCGCCCGCCCTCGCGCCCGCCCCCGTCACCCCGCCCGCCCTCGCGCCCGCGCCCGCCCTGACGATCGCGCCCGCCTCAGCGCCCACCTCGCTCTGGCCCGGCGCGTTATAACACCAGCGTCGTGGCCTCGCAATCTGAACCTTAGCCCGGTCAGTTTACTGTTTTCATTTTATTGGCAAGTTCTATCGTATGTTCTTGTACTAGCGAGTGCGAATTATCACGAGCCTACGACGCTCTGAGCCGGCGCGTTATAACACTAGCGCCCTGGAAATCTGAACCTTAGCTTGGTCAGTTTACAGTCGAGATTCTATTGGCAAATTCTATCTTATGTTCTTTTACCAGCGAGTGGGAGTTATCATATCAACAGCGAATATTGATGTATATGGATTAGGATGGTGTAAATTGTCGGTTGTAAAGTTATTACAATATACATGTGTAAATTTATCAAGGTGTTTACGGAAACATTGTTGATACTTTCCATTTGGCAATTACTTTTGTATACCCATCGTAGTTAACTTTATATTTTTATTTGTTGAATCAAATCACATTAAAATATAAATTAATATATTATTTTTTGTTGTTAAAAATATTAACACACACAGTATATTTTCTCCTGTATTGTGGAGACGGTTTGCATACATAGATTGCACAAGGACAAAAACTAGACTAGACTAGAACTGGAAAAATTATTTGTGAACCTTACAATTACTTCTTCCGTGCAGATTGAAGCTGTGACTCTGCAGCTTAATAACCAAACAATAAATCATTGTCTACTGCCATCAATATTTTATAATCTGTCGAGCATTTGTCATCTGACAGAACTCTACAATGTTAGGTATTTGTATTTTGTCTTTGAATTGCCGGTAAGAATAATATGTAATACACATTTAGCATTATACTTATATAGATTGTAGTAATTAAACAAACAATACGAACTTTTGTTACATAAAATTTCTATCACTGTAACCAAATTTCTCTTCACCGAAACAGGTTTATGTTTATTTTCATTCTAAAAATACTTAAATATCAATAATTACAGGGTAGAAAAATAAGTAAAACTAATTATCTGATAATTAAGAATTTGCAGTCAAATGTCAAAATAGAAATGCTCTATAAACTATACTATGTACACTGTACAAAATAATAATTGCGCAAGAGACATATACCAGCTGCAATGAAAAACTTATCTATATTTATATCTGTGGTGGATACTAGGCAGGACTTGTTATTGAGGAATATTACCCCCATCATAATCATCAGTAATTTATTACTTTACTATTATTTATACTTTTTGGCATTATTTTCTTTTTAAATTATTTGAAATTTATATGACATTATTTTATTATTGTATTTTTTTTCAGTAGTTACTGTATTTTTTTAAATGTAACTTTTACATTGGATTTTTTGGCTGTGTCATGAAAATGTTTGACTTGCATAAATTGCTCGTGAAGAAATATGCAGAGACGGTACAATATTTATAGACTATACAAACACTACGAAATCTATATTGTGATCAAAAAAAAGAGGAAGTGGTACTATATTATATCCTCATGAATGTTTAGGATCGACGAAGTACATTAGTTAGTTTCATTATATATTCTAAAATTAGAGTCGAGGTTTACGTTCTTTACTGCACTATGGCTCAGCATCGACTTCACAATACCAAACCTTTTTATAATGTTAAATTTTTTCATAGCCATTTAATTTTTATGAGTTCCCAGTTGCAGTCGGCTCTCTTGGTTGACTCACTCGGTGGTGCGGGCACGGCGCGACAGCACTACAATACATGTTTTACACTTAAACTATCCTCGGTCAAGTTTCAAATGCAATACTCCACACAAAGTGACTAACACTAGCCAAAGTCTTAAATTTTTTGCAGCCCGGATATGTAATATCAATTTGTCATTTTAATTTTGACATTTGATGTATTATCAGAATTGATATTTTTTTAAATATTATCTGTGATCTTTGTTTCTTTGAAAATAGATAACAGTGTAAAAATTATTAATCAATGTATTTTGTAACCAACAAATTACCATAGACAAAAATATAACATATCTGCCAATTAATTATATATTATAGTCTGTTACAAACGTATTTTTAATGATTATAATGTTTAGCTACTCTAATTTAGAAATATATTAATTAATATTTTTAACAAATGGTATTGCAACAATCTACATGAAACATAATGTTTAACTGCAATTTTTAAGCTAAATTTACATTATTTCTAACTAAGAGTAACTAAGTACTTCATAAAAATTGTATTGTAACAGAGTTTAGATTATAGATTTAGTTACCTCTACGTGTATGTAGCTGTAATTTAATATAAAATGTCATATAATGTCATAGATAAAATGGACCATAGAGCATAATATGTTATAGAGCAGTGATTGTGAAATCTGATATACGACACTGTAATGAATAGAGCAATAGCTAGGTGATGCAGAACATTGGTGCAATTTTTAGTCGTAAAGATGACACCACCAAAGTGGCGTTGAGTGATGACGATGAGAGATATGGAATTTATTCAATTTACAATTAAATTCACTAAACTATCTCCACTTTGGTGGGTACACAATCTAACATTGCTACATGTATAAAATAGGACAGAATTTGATTTAATGCTTCTTTTAATTAAATTATTTCTTCCAAAAGGTTTGTTAAATTTAGTTTTTTATTTATCTATTGCCACAAATAATGGCTGTTTCAGATTTTTATAATGTATATTGTATACTAAATTGTTGTCCTACTTTATACATGCTATATGGTAAGAATCAATGAATGGCATAACAGTATTGGAGCCATGTTGGTTGCATACAGATCTCAGAATGACCAGTATATATATATAAATAAATAAAGTACTCTTAAATGTCCTAATTATTTTACGTTTACATCGCGTTTATGATTATCATAATTTTATTAAGTTCATTAATATTATTTTGTATAAATATATTAATTAGTTGGTACGAATTTATAGTTTAAATCAATGTTACGCAATAAGTTTTTGCACTTATACGTAAAATGCTTTTTATAGTATATAGTAATCGGCCTATAGTGTATTGCTTGATATTTTTTACCGCGCAACATCAGTGCCATATTGGAGGAATGGCGAACGGGAGTTAGATTAACTGTCTCATATCTTATCGAAATGTGTTCAGAACTTTTTAGAGATTGTATCTACATTATGTATAGGTAGGGTTAGGTAAGTGTATGTATGTAATTAATGTACAGTTGCATTCATTTTATGTGACATGATATACGAGATTTTTCACATGAGTGAAAATTTTAAACCGACGGTTATATCGCAGGCGATTATATGTTGTAATAATAAGATACACAGTAAGTTTGGATACATGTGTTCGGTGCATCCTGTATTGGATGGTGCAATACATATTATTTGATTTAAAAAACACAAACAGTACTTTGTACGTCCAACTGAAAAAAAAAATATAAATTTGTATCACCTTTGGATTTATTGTATTTATAAGACAATATTGTAGAATTATAGAATGCAAAATTAATTTAATTCCTTATGAAATAGCGTACAGCCAAACTCGTTTGCAACACATTGTTCTAGTTGTAGCGATTTACGTAGATTGAAGAGAGATAACCTGCGCCATGTTCTGCATACGAGGATTCGTCAGGGAAGTTGTAAATAGGAAGTATGTTGCACGATATGCCTCTGGCTGGCGCAGTTAATTGTTTATGTATGTTTGCGATTGGAAAAAACGTCAACATTCCTAGCTTTTGATATTTGTACTACGAAATAAGATGTTTTTTATTTACATTACATACTGTACTTGCGTAATATGATTTAGCTACTCTTATAGACTTCAGTATTTACGTTTAAGTATTTTTTTTTATTAGTTTCTAATTGACTTGTATTCAAATTAGACTTTATTTTGTTCGTAACACGGTGCATAATTAAGGTTGCCATCATTTATTGTTTGATAACATATTTTTTTCTGTGATAACCCTTAAAATAAAGAGTGTACTTCTATGTTTTATATTGTGTATAGAGCTGTCATATATTTTCACAGAAGATATATTATGTATAGCTATATATATAGTATACGTACTTTTTAAAATATATAATTATTTGAAAACATAAATTTTTCGCGGAGATGTTTTATTTTGCTGCAAATATATAATTTTTTTATTTTAGTGGTTGAGCACTCAAACAAAATATCGTTGCGAGCCTCATTTAGAGCAAAGTAATGTGGTTTTGATAAATAATTTGGAAAACTTGCACAATGTATATGCAGTTGCGCAAGTTATTGTTCAAACTTACGTATGCTTATCAATTATGTTCAGAACTATGGATGCGTTACCTAGACCAAATGACAGCTAAAACTCGTCCATAAATGCTCGTAAACGTACTGGTTTTGTGGCAATTTCTAGCTGCAAATAGTGCAGACGTCATTTTGTCGTCTAACTCGCACAACGGCTGCAGTATCAATGTTGTTTTACGTTTATAAACTCAATTGTTCGACGACACAGTTGAAGCAACGTTGCCGGAATATACTCTGCAACGTATAATACAAGCAAAATTGTTGCTGGCAATATAGCTAGAGATCTCAGCAAAATTCAATTTTTATAAAGGAGTAAGCCACTGTGGCACAGGGAAATAAACTACCAGACAATTAAACCTTCTATATATAGATATATAAATGCTCCTGGTTACATTATTACAGTTGCGTGTTAATCAATGGTATTTTTAAAACTAGTATCCATAAAGTAACTACTAAATATCAGTGTAAATGAACTTAAAATGAAAATAAATTTCAATTAGTAAAAAAAAATTGATGGGAATTTCATGATCTTTAACGAAGAATAAAAAAAAAAAAAAAAAAAGGGTTTTTTTTTTAAATTATTTTTTTTTTACGGATTTGTAATTATCAGAGCCTTTCTGAAATCTATAAGACATAGTGGACATAGAGCTTTCGAGCTGGCTAACATTGTTTGAAAAATTTGTTCACACTCACCCAGCAAAGTGAGTGTAAACGTTCCCACTAACGATACGTCCATTAATCCAAATGGAGTGGTAATCGCCCAAAGTCGTTTCGTGAATGCTAAAAAAGTATTCCATTTGGATGGACTTCATCCAG